CTTGCTGTCCGAGACCTCCGAATAGCCGACGCTGACGATTATCCACCAGACAGCCGATGGAGAAGAAACATCGACAGGGAAACGTGCATTAGAATGGGTAAATAGGTTGAGGGGTTTCTGCGGGCTTAGGAGTTTGGGTTACGGACTTAGGAGTTAAATGTTCTTGGTTGTTTTTCAGGGTCTCGGGCAGGCCCCGAGTGTATTCTGTATTATTAGTAGACTAGGTCCTCGAGACATAAGCGAGGGATATAAATACTGTGTCCTTCACTGACTAGCCAAACCATCATCGGCGAAATCAGAGTCTTAACAATATAAATCGTTGATACGCGAGTTACAACTTTATTTGACTATACTTTTGAAATACTTTATTCTATCGTGACTTCGAACTCTACCTGAACTATTACGTCGAAGACGGTCGAACATCATACGCTAACTCTAGTGAATCTTCGTTGATAACGTAGCTCGCGGGGCCCGTATCGGATCAAGGAGAATCATACTCGACGTTGACTGAGGAGACCTTGGAGACTTCTACCTTTGTAGCTGTTAGCCGAACTCTGAGCTCTGCGTAGTGTACTCTTGTGGTCTGGTACGCATCCCTCACAGTTGTATTCTTGTAGCCTACTAAGTACTTTGCCGACCAGCTCCGTGTGTTCCTCTCGGGACTTGCTATATATTAGGATATCATCAAGGTATACTACTACACCTTGATCCAAGAATTCTCTCAGCGCATCATTCATCATATTCTGGAAGGTCGCCGGCGCATTTGCCAGCCCAAAAGGCATGACGAGGTACTCAAAATACCCGTACCGCGTACGGAATGCTGTCTTCCACTCATCGCCGTCTTTGATCCTGATGAGGTTGTAACCTTCCTTCAGGTCAATCTTCGAGAAGATAACCGCCCCTGCCACTCGACCTCACAGTTCGTCCATAAGCGGTAATGGATACCTGTTCTTAATGGACACACGGTTAAGTCCACGGTAGTCAACGCAAAGTCGCAGACTACCGTCCTTCTTCTTCACAAATAGGATTGGGGCTCCTGCTGGGGATTTGCTGGGCCTAATCTTTCCCAGTCGCAACATTTTGTCCAGGTACTCCCCAAGCACCTTCAGCTCGACTTCGGATATGGAGTAAACGGGTCCCCATGGTGGCTGCTTCCCTGGTTCAAGATCTATCGCATGGTCGTAAGATCGATGCGGTGGTAATTTATCTGCTTCCGATGGTAGGAAGACTTTAAGGAACCCATGGAGCCAAGAGGGAAGAGTCTCGCGGAGGTTGACCGATTCATCTTCCAAGAGACAAATGCTACCGATGAATTGGGCCTCCGGATCGTCCAATACACACTCGTCCATCTCTATTTGAGGTTCCTTGTCAGTGAAGCATCGACTCTTACAGTTATCGCCATCGTAGGAAACTTCCCCATTTGCTCCTATAACTGGTTTGTGTTCTTTCAACCACCAGTTCGGTAGTATCGCATCGATGCCAGGTGGGAGAGGGGCTATCTCGAATGATAGTTGCGTCTGATGCCCCCTTGACATTATAATTAATGGTTGTGTAAAGGCGTGTCCCGTGCCCTTCATAACTTCTCCCGTAAATCCAAATACCCGGGCCGGGACGTCTCGTTTCACCTTCGGGACCTCAAAACTATCAACAAAAACAGCAGACAAAACAGGACCAATTGCACCAGTATCCAACAACACCTTACAAGGTAAACATTTTTCCGCAAAACAAATATACTGATTAACGATTGGTCGAGGACCATGAATAGGTTCCTGAAAAATTTTTTGTTTTTTCTTCGGTGGGGACGCTCTCCCCTCCTGCCTTTTTCTTTTCATATTTTTTTTGTTGTTTTCCGTCAGTGATAACATAGCAATCTGGGGATACTCCTGACCTGACTCATCAGAGTCCCCTTTTAAAAATCCTCATCGAAATCCATCTCAAATTCCGATCCGCGTTCTCGCACAAACGCTTGCCCACTGGTGTACTCTGCCGCACCCGTAGCAGCCGGCTTCCTAGCACGGTGCCTCATACGCTTTCTCTGAGGTTGGGGTTCCGGTGGTTCCATATCGTGGTCGCCATCGTCATCGCGGGTATGCTTTCGGGAGAAAGAGGAGATAGATGCACTGCTGTTAGCATCTGAACGACACCATTTCCAAAGATGACCCTTTCGGCCACATCGCACACAGACACCATCGGTCTTTCGCTGATCTCGGACCGGCTGTGGAACTCCTTTGGTGGCTTCGTCGTAGTCGTGGAATATTGGTTTATTTCCTGACTTGTTCTTGCTGGTGCTCTTCTTATCTTGCCCTTTCTCTTTCTCCTCAGTCTGAGCCCTCCCCTTAATCTTAAACCCTTTCTCCTTCTGCCGAGAATTCCCACCATTGTTCGACTCCCTTCCTCTCGACTCCGCTTTCCCCAACATCTTCATCTGCTCTTGATAAGCCTCGTGAGCCTTGCCGGCTCGTTCCAACTGTTGGATCTACTCGGAGTCGTCATCGGTTGGATCGAAGCGTGAGTGGCGCTCTCGAAGTTCATTAGGTAGCCCTTGGAGCAGGGCGGCACGAGAGGATGCTCCTTTCATTTGAGCATGCTGGTTCATAATCTCCATCCTCATCAGGTAGTCGCCGATGTTAGCAGAGTACTTGAACTGCTGCATCTTCATCGCGTTTTCCATAGCCTCCTGAGTGCTTAAGAAGCGTTTCCTGATCTCCTGACGGAACCGTGTCCAAGTAGCGTAGTCCGCGGCTGCCGGTCCTAGCATCTTGGTCTCAATATATTCCATAAACCACTCCTTTGCCAACCCACACGTATACGTCCCAGCGAACAGTACCTTGTTTCTGTCCGTTCGGAACTTCTTTGGCTTCTGCTCGAAGTAGATCTCACACTCCATGAGCCAATGCCTCAGGTTATGCTTCCTGGCATTATCGAACTCAAAGGGTATTTTGGCGAGCGAATCTACCATATCGTCGTCCTCAGGCGGCGCCGAATTCCGGTTCCCGCCTCGGTTCATTCTCCAATTCTTCCGATCGTGCGACCATTCGCTGTTATCGTCGTCATCGTCGTCGGAAGGTTCTGGGTCTCCCCCAACATTTCCTCTTGGTGGGTTTCGGGGAGGTAGATTTCCACCATTCCCTCCTACTGGAGCAGCGCCTACCGGTCACCTGCCACTATTTCCCTGCACTGGGCCGGCATCCTCCGGTTGCCTGCCTCCATTTCCTCCTACTGGACCAGCGTTTCCTCCTACTGGGCCAGCATTTTCGGGGTTCTTGCCATTGCCAACAGGAACCGTTTGGGGTGCATTAGGGTTCAAGGGAACACTCACCATGGAGGGTGCTACCGACACATGTTGTCGTAGTCGTTCCTCCATCTCGGCTATTCGTTGGTTTCTTACATCATCGGACTGCTTGAATTGCGCCAACAGCTCCCGTTGTTCCCTTTTCTCTTGCTCTCGCTCTTCTCTTGCAACTCTCAGCTGTCGTTCCGCCTCCAACAGTTGGTTCTGGATAATCCGATGGTTACGATCCAGAACCTCGTGGTCGGCGGCTCGTGCAGCTTCCTGTACTTGTCGAACATTTTCGACGAGCTCAAAGAGCGATTCGAGATGTTGCTTCTGGGCAATGGCTTCTTGCCGTACTTTCTTATCCAGGATTTGCCCACTCCCCTGCACTTGTTCCTGGAGGTTTTGTAGCTGCTGCCAAACGGCCTGTCCAGCTGTACCAAGATCCCTCATTTGTGCCTCATGGGTATCCAAAACTCCTGCATGGACCTCGTAAACTGGGCTTGAGCAGAGCGTTTACTCGTCGACCTAGTTTGTGTAGAGGGTCCTCTCTGGAGTAGAGGATCTGGGCTATCAGCCCTTGATATTACCATAGAATCTTCCCCTCCGGCCTCCTCAGTTACTGCCGAGGTATCTATGAAGTAATTATCCCTTATGGTAGTCATTGCAATTGGGGATAATGATGATAGTTCTTCTTTTTGAGGTGACTTCGTTACTCCAAGTGAACTTGTGAGTAACAATATACTGTGAGGGATGCGTACCAGACCACAAGAGTACACTACGCAGAGCTCAGAGTTCGGCTAACAGCTACAAAGGTAGGAGTCTCCAAGTTCTCTTCAGTCAACGTCGAGTATGAATCTCCTCGATCCGATACGGGCCCCGCGAGCTACGTTATCAACAAGATTCACTAGAGTTAGTGTATAGGATTCGACCGTCTTCGACGTAATAGTTCAGGTAGAGTCCGAAGTCACAGTAGAGTAAAGTAATTCCAAAAGTATAGTCAAATAAAGTTGTAACTCACGTATCAATGATTTATATTGTTAAGACTCTGATTTCGCCGATGATGGTTTGGCTAGTCAGTGAATGACACAGTATTTATATCCCTCGCTTATGTCTCGAGGACCCAGTCTACTAATAATACAGTATACACTCGGGGCATGCCCGAGACCCTGAAAAACAACCCAGAACATTTAACTCCTAAGTCCGTAACCCAAACTCCTAAACCCGCTGAAACCCCTCAACCTATTTATCCACTCTAATGCACGTTTCCGTGTCGATGTTTCTTCTCCATCGGCCGTCTGGTGGATAATCGTCAGCGTCGGCTATTCGGAGGTCTCGGACGGCAAGGCTACCTACTAAGGCCTCTTCCCACATCGCTTTCCCACATAGCAGAGTCCTCTCATGCCCACAGGTACCGCCGATAGGTACTCGGTCGGCTGGTAGCTTGCGCCGATTCGCTCCGGGTGGTCCGATCTTCGATCCGATTGATTCCAGCTGTCCCTCATATATCCACCGGTCCAAAGGCACTCCCCTCCGGCGGTTTGACGCTCCGGGGGTTATTATTGGGGTCGAAAACGTGTTTTTTAACTAGGAAAACCGCAACTCCGCATTTGGTCGCATATTGATCGCACCGCACCTCGTGGGTGCGAACCGGAGTTTGACATTAGTGTACAGAGAGTATTGGGGTATCTACTGGCCTTTTCTCTTACTCCCGTAAATGCTTGGCATGCCCGTAACACTGGAGCACTACTTACGAGCGTTCTGCAACTACGAACAAGATGATTGGGCAGAGCTCCTCCCGTTGGCGGAGTATGCTTACAACAACTCGGTTACCACCGCCACGGGTCAATCTCCGTTCTATACCAATTACGGTTATAACCCAAGAACCAACTGGCCGACGGAAGCCGAAGTGGTCAACCCAACCAGTGACCTGTACGCTCACTTCATCCGAGGAGTTCATGATTCTGCTCTCGTTCGCTTAACAGATACCAGAGAGAAGATGGGGAAATACTATGATCGGAAAAGGGACGAACCGCCTAACTTCAAGGTGGGAGACATGGTTATGCTCAATGCGATCAATATCAAGACCCGTCGCTCCACCAAAAAGCTCGATCATAAGAAACTCGGCCCGTTCAAAATCATCCGACTAGCCGGAAAACGAGCCTGTGAATTGGAACTGCCACCACAAGTCAAAATTCATAACCTGTTCCACATCGAACTCTTGGAACGTTATCGACAGAGCAGTATCCCAGGCCGCGAACAACGTCCCCCAACTCCCGAAGAGGTCGACAAGGAAGGAGAGGTTCTGTATGAAGTGGAAAGTATTGTGGGAAGTCGGAAGAGTAGAAAAGGATTAGTGGAATACCTGGTGAAATGGCGGGGCTACTCAATGAGCGACTGCACTTACCAAGTCATGGACGTTATGGACGAAGATGTACTTGATCTAGTCCGCGACTTTCATCGAAGGAACCCCAAGGCCGTGAGGGACCAACGCCTGAGACTATAGAGGTACCCTACGGGGCTAAGTCCTTCCCCTCCACAGACACCGCGGGTGATATGTGGAGCAGGTTTACTGGAACCATTGTCTGTCGGAAGATGTCCCGAGACGTGACACCCTGGAAGGGGGGTAAGCTGTTACGGGCATGCCAACCATTTACGGGAGTAAGAGAAAAGGCCAGTAGATACCCCAATACCCTCTGTACACTAATCTCAAACTCCGGTTCGCACCCACGAGGTGCGGTGCGATCAATATGCGACCAAATGCGGAGTTGCGGTTTTCCTAGTTAAAAAACACGTTTTCGACCCCAATAATAACCCCCGGAGCATCAAACCGCCGGAGGGGAGTGCCTTTGGACCGGTGGATATATGAGGGACAGCTGGAATCAATCGGATTGAAGAACGGATCGTCCGGAGCAAATCGGCGCAAGCTACCAGCCGACCGAGTACCTATCGGCGGTACCTGTGGGCATGAGAGGACTCTGCTATGTGGGAAAGCGATGTGGGAAGAGGCCTGAGTAGGTAGCCTTGCTGTCCGAGACCTCCGAATAGCCGACGCTGACGATTATCCACCAGACAGCCGATGGAGAAGAAACATCGACAGGGAAACGTGCATTAGAATGGGTAAATAGGTTGAGGGGTTTCTGCGGGCTTAGGAGTTTGGGTTACGGACTTAGGAGTTAAATGTTCTTGGTTGTTTTTCAGGGTCTCGGGCAGGCCCCGAGTGTATTCTGTATTATTAGTAGACTAGGTCCTCGAGACATAAGCGAGGGATATAAATACTGTGTCCTTCACTGACTAGCCAAACCATCATCGGCGAAATCAGAGTCTTAACAATAGAGATCGTTGATACGCGAGTTACAACTTTATTTGACTATACTTTTGAAATACTTTATTCTATCGTGACTTCGAACTCTACCTGAACTATTACGTCGAAGACGGTCGAACATCATACGCTAACTCTAGTGAATCTTCGTTGATAACGTAGCTCGCGGGGCCCGTATCGGATCAAGGAGAATCATACTCGACGTTGACTGAGGAGACCTTGGAGACTTCTACCTTTGTAGCTGTTAGCCGAACTCTGAGCTCTGCGTAGTGTACTCTTGTGGTCTGGTACGCATCCCTCACAGTTGTATTCTTGTAGCCTACTAAGTACTTTGCCGACCAGCTCCGTGTGTTCCTCTCGGGACTTGCTATATATTAGGATATCATCAAGGTATACTACTACACCTTGATCCAAGAATTCTCTCAGCGCATCATTCATCATATTCTGGAAGGTCGCCGGCGCATTTGCCAGCCCAAAAGGCATGACGAGGTACTCAAAATGCCCGTACCGCGTACGGAATGCTGTCTTCCACTCATCGCCGTCTTTGATCCTGATGAGGTTGTAACCTTCCTTCAGGTCAATCTTCGAGAAGATAACCGCCCCTGCCACTCGACCTCACAGTTCGTCCATAAGCGGTAATGGATACCTGTTCTTAATGGACACACGGTTAAGTCCACGGTAGTCAACGCAAAGTCGCAGACTACCGTCCTTCTTCTTCACAAATAGGATTGGGGCTCCTGCTGGGGATTTGCTGGGCCTAATCTTTCCCAGTCGCAACATTTTGTCCAGGTACTCCCCAAGCACCTTCAGCTCGACTTCGGATATGGAGTAAACGGGTCCCCATGGTGGCTGCTTCCCTGGTTCAAGATCTATCGCATGGTCGTAAGATCGATGCGGTGGTAATTTATCTGCTTCCGATGGTAGGAAGACTTTAAGGAACCCATGGAGCCAAGAGGGAAGAGTCTCGCGGAGGTTGACCGATTCATCTTCCAAGAGACAAATGCTACCGATGAATTGGGCCTCCGGATCGTCCAATACACACTCGTCCATCTCTATTTGAGGTTCCTTGTCAGTGAAGCATCGACTCTTACAGTTATCGCCATCGTAGGAAACTTCCCCATTTGCTCCTATAACTGGTTTGTGTTCTTTCAACCACCAGTTCGGTAGTATCGCATCGATGCCAGGTGGGAGAGGGGCTATCTCGAATGATAGTTGCGTCTGATGCCCCCTTGACATTATAATTAATGGTTGTGTAAAGGCGTGTCCCGTGCCCTTCATAACTTCTCCCGTAAATCCAAATACCCGGGCCGGGACGTCTCGTTTCACCTTCGGGACCTCAAAACTATCAACAAAAACAGCAGACAAAACAGGACCAATTGCACCAGTATCCAACAACACCTTACAAGGTAAACATTTTTCCGCAAAACAAATATACTGATTAACGATTGGTCGAGGACCATGAATAGGTTCCTGAAAAATTTTTTGTTTTTTCTTCGGTGGGGACGCTCTCCCCTCCTGCCTTTTTCTTTTCATATTTTTTTTGTTGTTTTCCGTCAGTGATAACATAGCAATCTGGGGATACTCCTGACCTGACTCATCAGAGTCCCCTTTTAAAAATCCTCGTCGAAATCCATCTCAAATTCCGATCCGCGTTCTCGCACAAACGCTTGCCCACTGGTGTACTCTGCCGCAGCCGTAGCAGCCGGCTTCCTAGCACGGTGCCTCATACGCTTTCTCTGAGGTTGGGGTTCCGGTGGTTCCATATCGTGGTCGCCATCGTCATCGCGGGTACGCTTTCGGGAGAAAGAGGAGATAGATGCACTGCTGTTAGCATCTGAACGACACCATTTCCAAAGATGACCCTTTCGGCCACATCGCACACAGACACCATCGGTCTTTCGCTGATCTCGGACCGGCTGTGGAACTCCTTTGGTGGCTTCGTCGTAGTCGTGGAATATTGGTTTATTTCCTGACTTGTTCTTGCTGGTGCTCTTCTTATCTTGCCCTTTCTCTTTCTCCTCAGTCTGAGCCCTCCCCTTAATCTTAAACCCTTTCTCCTTCTGCCGAGAATTCCCACCATTGTTCGACTCCCTTCCTCTCGACTCCGCTTTCCCCAACATCTTCATCTGCTCTTGATAAGCCTCGTGAGCCTTGCCGGCTCGTTCCAACTGTTGGATCTACTCGGAGTCGTCATCGGTTGGATCGAAGCGTGAGTGGCGCTCTCGAATTTCATTAGGTGGCCCTTGGAGCAGGGCGGCATGATAGGATGCTCCTGTTACGGGCATGTTAAGCATTTACGGGAGTGAGAGAAAGGCTAGTAGATATCCCTATACCCTTTAATACTAATGGCAACACCACTTTCAACTCCGGTTCGCACCTACGAGGTACGGTGCGATCAATATGCGACCAAATGCGGAGTTGCGGTTTTCCTAGTTAAAAAACACGTTTTCGACCCCAATAATAACCCCCGGAGCGTCAAACCGCCGGAGGGGAGTGTTTTGGTATTGGTGGATATATGAGGGACAGCTGGAATCAATCGGATCGAAGATCGGACCGCTCGGAGCGAATCGGCGCAAGCTGCCAGCCGACCGAGTACCTATCGGCGGTACCTGTGGGCATGAGAGGACTCTGCTATGTGGGAAAGCGATGTGGGAAGAGGCCTGAGTAGGTAGCCTTGCCGTCCGAGACCTCCGAATAGCCGACGCTGACGATTATCCACCAGACAGCCGATGGAGAAGAAACATCGACAGGGAAACGTGCATTAGAATGGGTAAATAGGTTGAGGGGTTTCTGCGGGCTTAGGAGTTTGGGTTACGGATTTAGGAGTTAAATGTTCTTGGTTTTTTTTCAGGGTCTCGGGCAGGCCCCGAGTGTATGCTGTATTATTAGAAGACTGGGTCCTCGAGACATAAGCGAGGGATATAAGTACTGTGTCATTCACTGACTAGCCAAACGATCATCAGCGAAATCAGAGTCTCAACAATATAAATCGTTGATACGCGAGTTACAACTTTATTTGACTATACTTTTGGAAATACTTTATTCTATCGTGACTTCGAACTCTACCTGAACTACTACGTCGAAGACGGTCGACCATCACACGCTAACTCTAGTGAATCTTTGTTGATAACGTAGCTCGCGGGGCCCGTATCGGATCAAGGAGAATTATACTCGACGTTGACTGAAGAGACCTTGGAGACTTCTACCTTTGTAGCTGTTAGCCGAACTCTGAGCTCTGCGTAGTGTACTCTTGTGGTCTGGTACGCATCCCTCACAGTATATTGTTACTCACAAGTTCACTTGGAGTAACTAAGTCACCTCAAAGAAAAGAACTATTATCGTTATCCCCTATCACAATGACTACCCGAAGGGATAATTACTTCATAGATACCTCGGCCGTAACTGAGGAGGCCGGAGGAGAAGATTCTATGGTGATATCAAGGGCTGCTAGCCCAGACCCCCTACTTACGGGAGGACCCTCTACAACAACTAGGCAATCGAGTAAACGCTCTGCTCAAGCCCAGTTTGTGAGGAATATGCAGGAGTTTTTGGATACCCATGAGGCACAAATGAGGTATCTTGGTGCAGCTGGACAGGCCGTTTGGCAGCAGCTACAAAACCTCCAGGAGCAAGTCCAAGGGAGTGGACAAATCCTGGATAAGAAAGTACGGCAAGAAGCCATTGCCCAAAAACAACATCTCGAGTCGCTCTTTGAGCTCGTCACCCATGTCCAACAAATGCAAGAAACCGCACGAGCCGCCGACCACGAGGTTCTGGACCGTAACCATCGGATTACCCAGAACCAACTGTTGGAAGCGGAGCGACAGCTGAGGATGGTACGAGAAGAGCGGGAGCAGGAGAAAGGGGAACAACGGGCTATGTTTGCGCAATTCAAGCAGTCCGATGAGATAAGAAACCAACGGATAGCCGAGATGGAGGAACTACTGCGACAACACCTGTCAGCAGCACCTTCCGTGGCTAGTGCTCCCTTAGACCCTAACGCTGTGAGGGATGCGTACCAGACCACAAGAGTACACTACGCAGAGCTCAGAGTTCGGCTAACAGCTACAAAGGTAGAAGTCTCCAAGGTCTCTTCAGTCAACGTCCAGTATGATTCTCCTTGATCCGATACGGGCCCCGCGAGCTACGTTATCAACAAAGATTCACTAGAGTTAGCGTGTGATGTTCGACCGTCTTCGACGTAATAGTTCAGGTAGAGTTCGAAGTCACGATAGAATAAAGTATTTCCAAAAGTGTAGTCAAATAAAGTTGTAACTCGCGTATCAATGATTTATATTGTTAAGACTCTGATTTCGCCGATAATGGTTTTGGCTAGTCAGTGAATGACACAGTATTTATATCCCTTGCTTATGTCTCGAGGACCCAGTCTACTAATAATACAGATTACACTCGGGGTATGCCTGAGACCCTGAAAAACAACCAAGAACATTTTAACTCCTAAGTCCGTAACCCAAACTCCTAAACCCGCTGAAACCCCTCAACCTATTTATCCGCTCTAATGCACGTTTCCCTGTCGATGTCTTTTCTCCATCGGCCGTCTGGTGGATAATCGTCAGCGTCGGCTATTTCGGAGGTCTCGGACGGCAAGGCTACCTACTCAGGCCTCTTCCCACATCGCTTTCCCATATAGCAGAGTCCTCTCATGCCCACAGGTACCGCCGATAGGTACTCGGTCGGCTGGCAGCTTGCGCCGATCCACTCCGAGCGGTCCGATCTTCGATCCGATCGATTCCAGCTGTCCCTCATATATCCACCGGTACCAAAACACACCCCTCCGGCGGTTTGACACTCCGGGGGTTATTATTGGGGTCGAAAACGTGTTTTTTAACTAGGAAAACCGCAACTCCGCATTTGGTCGCATATCGATCGCACCGCACCTCGTGGGTGCGAACCGGAGTTGACATTAGCATACAGAGGGTATTGGGGTATCTAATTAGCCTTTTCTCTTACTCCCGTAAATGCTTGACATGCCCGTAACAGCTTACCCCCCTTCCAGGGTGTCAGGTCTCGGGACATCTTCTGACAGACTATGGTTCCAGTAAACCTGCTCCACATATCACCCACGGTGTCTGTGGAGGGGAAGGACTTAGCCCCGTAGGGTACCTCTATAGTCTCAGGCGTTGGTCCTTCACGGCCTTGGGGTTCCTTCGATGAAAGTCGCGGACTAGATCGAGTACGTCTTCGTTCATAACATCCATGACTTGATAAGTACGGTCGCTCATCGAATAGCCCCGCCATTTCACCAGGTATTCCACTAATCCTCTTCTACTCTTCCGGCTTCCCACAATACTTTCCACTTCGTACAAAACCTCTCCTTCCTTATCGACCTCTTCGGGAGTTGGGGGATGTTGTTCACGGCCTGGGATACTGCTCTGTCGATAACGTTCCAGGAGTTCAATGTGGAACACGTTATGGATCTTGAGTTGTGGTGGCAGTTCCAATTCGCAGGCTCGTTTTCCGGCTAGTCGGACAATTTTGAACGGGCCGGGTTTCTTATGATCGAGTTTCTTGGTAGAGCGACGTGTCTTGATATTGGTCGCGTTGAGCATAACCATGTCTCCCACCTTGAAGTTAGGTGGTTCGTCCCTTTTCCGATCATAGTATTTCCCCATCTTCTCCCTGGTGTCTGTTAAGCGAGCGAGAGCAGAGTCGTGAACTCCTCGGATGAAGTGAGCGTACAGGTCACTGGTTGGGTTGACCACTTCGGCTTCCGTCGGCCAGTTGGTTCTTGGGTTGTAACCGTAATTGGTATAGAACAGAGATTGACCCGTGGCGGTGGTAACCGAGTTGTTGTAAGCATACTCCGCTAACGGGAGTAGCTCTGCCCAATCATCTTGCTCGTAGTTGCAGAACGCTCGTAGGTAGTGCTCGAGGGTTTGATTAACCCGCTCGGTTTGCCCATCGGTCTGAGGGTGGAAAGCCGTACTCATTCTTATCCTCACGTCCAATAATTCCATAAGGGATGCCCAAAAGCTTGAAGTAAACTTGGCGTCCCTGTCGGAAACTATATCAAGAGGCAGCCCATGGAGTCGCCAGATTTGACCGAGGAATATCTTCGCTAAATCCTACGCGGTCGTTTTTGCTACTAGGGGGATGAAGTGCGACATCTTTGAGAACCTATCGACTACTACCCAGATTTGGTTGTATCCCTTTGATTCCGGTAACTGGACGACGAAGTCCATTGATATCGATTGCCAGACAGAATGTGGCGTGGACAGTGGTAGAAGCACACCGTATTTCTTATGGCGGCTGGGTTTGTTGCGCTGGCACTCGTCACATGACCGAACGTCATCATCAATCCACTCGTTCATTTTTGGCCAATAGAAGTTACGCGTGATGAGTTCCAAGGTTTTATCCTGTCCGAAGTGTCCTGCCACCTTAGAGTCGTGTTCTGCCTGTGCTATTCGGATCTTAATACGGTCGTCTGCCGGAATATAGAGTCGGTTCTTATAGAAGAGTAGCCTGTCTTTCTCAGTAATATCCTTCAATTCCCCCAGCTTCTCCCCTTGCTCAACTCTCTCTTTCAATCCTACCCATATCGGGTCTCCCGATGCCGCCTGCCTGACATGATCCAGAAAATTCTTAGACCAGTCAATCACCCCCTTGGAGGCAAGCGACACCGCTGATACCACAAACTCTTCCTCCGCCAACTGCCCGGGCTTAAAGAACTTGTCTATCGGCTGTTTCCCAAGCGTGCCTCCCCCTTCAGGACGGTACTCCGGCCGTCGCGATAGTGCATCTGCCTTCCCATTTTTGGTTCCCGGGCGGTAAATAATCTTGAAGTCAAATTCCGCCAAAGACTCAGCCCACCTTGCCTGTCGTCGGTTAAGAACCTTGGTTGTAGAGAAGTACTCTAAGTTCTTGTGATCCGTATAGACGAGAACCGTTCGGCTAGGTCCTTCGAGGTAGTGACGCCATTGCTTGAAGGCCGACACAATTCCTAGCATCTCCTTATCTGTGAGGGATGCGTACCAGACCACAAGAGTACACTACGCAGAGCTCAGAGTTCGGCTAACCGCTACAAAGGTAGAAGTCTCCAAGGTCTCTTCAGTCAACGTCGAGTATAATTCTCCTTGATCCGATACGGGCCCCGCGAGCTACGTTATCAACAAAGATTCACTAGAGTTAGCGTTTGATGTTCGACCGTCTTCGACGTAATAGTTCAGGTAGAGTTCGAAGTCACGATAGAGTAAAGTAATTCCAAAAGTATAGTCAAATAAAGTTGTAACTCGCGTATCAACGATTTATATTGTTAAGACTCTGATTTCGCCGATGATGGTTTGGCTAGTCAGTGAATGACACAGTATTTATATCCCTCGCTTATGTCTCGAGGACCCAGTCTTCTAATAATACAGCATACACTCGGGGCCTACCCGAGACCCTGAAAAACAACCAAGAACTTTTAACTCCTAAGTCCGTAACCCAAACTCAAAAATCCGCTGAAACCCCTGAACCTATTTATTCACTCTAATGCACGTTTCCCTGTCGATGTTTCTTCTCCATCGGCCGTTCAGGCCTCTTCCCACATCGCTTTCCCACATAGCAGAGTCCTCTCATGCCCACAGGTACCGCCGATAGGTACTCGGTCGGCTGGCAGCTTGCGCCGATTCGCTCCGAGCGGTCCGATCTTCGATCCGATTGATTCCAGCTGTCCCTCATATATCCACCGGTACCAAAACACTCCCCTCCGGCGGTTTGACGCTCCGGGGGTTATTATTAGGGTCGAAAACGTGTTTTTTAAGTAGGAAAACCGCAACTCCGCATTTGGTCGCATATTGATCGCACCGTACCTCGTAGGTGCGAACCGGAGTTGATAGTGGTGTTGCCATTAGTATTAACGGGTATAGGGGTATCTACTAGCCTTTCTCTCACTCCGTAAATGCTTAGCATGCCCGTAACAGCTTACCCCCCTTCCAGGGTGTTACGTCTCGGGACATCTTCTGACAGACTATGGTTCCAGTAAACCTGCTCCACATATCACCCGTGGTGTCTGTGGAGGGGAAGGACTTAGCCCCGTGGGGTACCTCTATAGTCTCAGGCGTTGGTCCTTCACGGCCTTGGGGTTCCTTCGATGATAGTCACGCACTAGATCAAGTACGTCCTCGTTCATAGCGTCCATGACTTGATAAGTACAGTCACTCATCGAATAGCCCCGCCATTTCACCAAGTACTCCACTAATCCTCTTCTGCTCTTCCGGCTCCCCACGATACTTTCCACTTCGTACAGCACCTCTCCGTCCTTATCGACCTCTTCGGGAGTTGGGGGACGTTGTTCTCGGCCTGGGATACTGCTCTGTCGATAACGTTCCAGGAGTTCGATGTGGAACACATTATGGATCTTGACTTGTGGTGGCAGTTCCAATTCACAGGGTCGTTTCCCAGCTAGTCGGATAATTTTGAACGGACCGAGTTTCTTATGATCGAGCTTCTTGGTGGAGCGGCGTGTCTTAATATTGGCCGCATTGAGCATGACCATGTCGCCTATCTTAAAGTTCGGCGATTCATCCCGTTTCCGATCATAGTATTTCCCCATCTTCTCCCTGGTGTCTGTTAAGCGGGCGAGAGCAGAATCCTGAACTCCTCAGATGAAGTGAGCATACAGGTCACTGGTTGGGTTGACCACCTCAGCTTCCGTCGGCCAGTTGGTTCTTGGGTTATAACCGTAATTGGTATAGAACGGAGATTGACCCGTGGCGGTGGTAACCGAGTTGTTGTAAGCATACTCCGCCAACGGGAGTAGCTCTGCCCAATCATCTTGCTCGTAGTTACAAAACGCTCGTAAGTAGTGCTCGAGGGTTTGATTGACTCGCTCTGTTTGCCCATCGGTCTGAGGGTGGAAAGCCGTACTCATTCTTATCCTCACATCCAACAATTCCATAAGAGATGCCCAAAAACTTGAAGTAAACTTGGCGTCCCTGTCGGAAACTATGTCGAGAGGCAGCCCATGGAGTCGCCAGATTTGACCGAGGAATATCTTTGCTAAATCCTGCGCGGTCGTTTCTGGTACTAAGGGAATGAAGTGCGACATCTTCGAGAACCTATCGACTACTACCCAGATTTGATTGTATCCCTTTGATTCCGGTAACTGTACGACGAAGTCCATTGATATCGATTGCCAGACAAAATGTGGCGTGGACAGTGGTAGAAGCGCACTGTATTTTTTATGGCGGCTGGGTTTGTTGCGCTGGCACTCGTCACATGACCGAACGTAGTCATCAATCCACTCGTTCATTTTTGGCCAATAGAAGTTACGCGTGATGAGTTCCAGTGTCTTGTCTTGTCCAAAGTGTCCTGCCACTTTCGAGTCGTGTTCTGCCTGTGCGATTCGGATCTTGATACGGTCGTCTGCCGGGATATAGAGTCGGTTCTTATAGAAGAGTAGCCCGTCTTTCTCGGCAATATCCTTCAATTCCCCCAGCTTCTCCCCTTGCTCAACTCTCTCTCTCATTCCTACCCATATCGGGTCTCCCGATGCCGCCTGCCTGACATGATCCAGAAAATTCTTAGACCAGTCGATCACTCTCTTGGAGGCAAGCGACACCGCTGATACCACAAACTCTTCCTCCGCCAACTGCCCGGGCTTAAAGAACCTGTCTATCGGCTGTTTCCCAAGCGTGCCTCCCCCTTCAGGACGGTACTCCGGCCGTCGCGATAGTGCATCTGCCTTCCCATTTTTGGTTCCCGGGCGGTAAATAATCTTGAAGTCAAATTCCGCCAAAGATTCAGCCCACCTTGCCTGTCGTCGGTTAAGAACCTTGGTTGTTGAAAAATATTCCAAGTTCTTGTGATCCGTATATACGAGAACCGTTCGGCTAGGTCCTTCGAGGTAGTGACGCCATTGCTTGAAGGCTGACACAATTCCCAACATCTCCTTATCCCAGACGTCGTAGTTGAGTTCCGCTGGGTTAAGTTTTCGAGAATAGAAGGCAACAGGGTGAGTCTTTCCGTCAATAACCTGGGATAGAATTGCGGCGATAGCAAAATCACTTGCGTCCGTTTCCACGATAGTCTGGCGATCTGGAGAGAAGTGTACCAAGATCGGCGCAGACATAAACAGGGTTTTGAGTTTTTCGAAGGCTGCTTGGGCCATCATAGACTAGACAAAGTTCTTAGCATCACTCCTGAGACAATCGGTAATGGGTTTACAGACCCCGGAGAAATTGTGGATAAACCTTCTGTAGAAGTTGGCAAAGCCCATAAAGATCTGTACTTCTTTAACGCTGCGCGGGGCTTGCCAATTCGTAACAGACATAACCTTATCCAGTGCCATGGTGACACCTGCTGGGGCAAGGATGTATCCGAGGAACTCGATTTCGGTGAGCTCGAAGAACGATTTCTTCGGGTTGGCGACTAGGTTGTATTCTTGCAGTCTGCTAAGTACTTTACCGACCAGCTCCCTGTGTTCCTCTCGAGACTTGCTATATATTAGGATATCATCAAGGTATACTACTACACCTTGATCCAAAAATTCCCTCAGTGCATCATTCATCATGTTCTGGAAGGTCGCCGGCGCATTTGCCAGCCCAAAAGGCATGACGAGGTACTCAAAATGCCCGTACCGCGTACGAAAGGCTGTTTTCCACTCGTCACCGTCTTTGATCCTGATGAGGTTGTAACCTTCCTTCAGGTCAATTTTCGAGAAGATAACCGCGCCTGCTACTCGATCTCGCAGCTCGTCCATAAGCGGTAACGGATACCTATTCTTGATGGACACACGGTTAAGTCCACGGTAGTCAACGCAAAGTCGCAGACTACCGTCCTTCTTCTTCACAAATAGAATTGGGGCTCCTGCTGGGGATTTGCTCGGCCTAATCTTTCCCAATCGCAACATTTTGTCTAGGTACTCCCGAAGCACCTTCAGCTCGACTTCGGATAGGGAGTAAACGGGTCCCCATGGTGGTTGCTTCCCTGGTTCGAGGTCTATCGCATGGTCGTAAGATCGATGCGGTGGTAATTTGTCTGCTTCCGACGGTAGAAAGACTTTAAGGAACCCATGGAGCCAAGAGGGAAGAGTTTCACGGAGGTTAACCGATTCATCTTCCAATAGACAGATGCTACCGATGAATTGGGCCTCCGGATCGTCCAGTACACCCTCATCCATTTCTATTCGAGGTTCCTTGTCAGTGAAGCATCGACTCTTACAGTTCTCACCATCGTAGGAAACTTCCCCATTTGCCCCTAGTACCGGCTTGTGTTCTTTCAACCACCAATTCGGTAGTATTGCATCGATGCCAACCGGGAGAGGGGCGATCTCGAATGATAACTGTACTTGATGCCCCTTTGACGTTATAATTAATGGTTGTGTAAAGGCGTGTCCCGTGCCCTTCATAACTTCTCCCGTAAATCCAAATACCCGGGCCGGGATGTCTCGTTTCACCTTCGGGACCTCAAAACTATCAACAAAAACAGCAGACAAAACAGGGCCAGTTGCACCAGTATCCAACAACACCTTACAAGGTAAACATTTTTCCGCAAAACAAAGGAACTGATTAACGATAGGTCGAGGACCGTGAATAGGTTCCTCCAAAATTTTCTGTTTTTTCTCCGGATGGGACGCTCTCCCTTCCTGCCTTTTTCTTTTCATATTTTTTTTGTTGTTTTCCGTCAGTGATAACATAGCAATCTGGGGATACTCCTGACCTGACTCATCAGAGTCCCCTTTTAAAAATCCTCGTCGAAATCCATCTCAGATTCCGATCCGCGTTCTCGCACAAACGCTTGCCTACTGGTGTACTCCGCAGCAGCCGTAGCAGCCGGCTTTCTAGCGCGGTGCCTCATACGCTTTCTCTGAGGTTGGGGTTCCGGTGGTTCCATATCGTGGTCGCCATTGTCATCGCGGGTACGCTTTCGGGAGAAAGAAGATATAGATGCACTGCTGTTAGCATCTGAACGACACCATTTCCAAAGATGACCTTTTCGGCCACATCGCACACAGGCTCCATCGGTCTTTCGCTGTTCTCGGACCGGCTGTGGAACTCCTTTAGTGGCTTCGTCGTAGTCGTGGTATATTGGCTTATTCCCCGACTTGTTCTTGCTGGTGCTCTTCTTATCTTGCCCTTTTTCTTTCTCCTCAGTCTGAGCTCTTCCCTTGATCTTAAACCCCTTCTCCTTTTGCCGCGAGTTCCCACCATTATTCGCCTCCCTTCCTCTCGACTCCGCTTTCCCCAACATTGTAACGGAGCCATTTCAACTGTCTGGTGTATGAGTACACACAGGGCCCGGTTACATGCTGAGAGTTATTGTTAGAAGCCAGTTGCACGGTGATATGCAAGTACCGGCAGTGTGGTTAGCTACCAGCTGTTAGAGTAACTACATTCCGGGCGCTAGGAAGAGGATCTATTCATGGGAGCAATGACTGACGAGTCTATGCCTCGCCAGTGACTAGAAGACCGGCCAGAGTGAAGCTCTGATTGACCGGTGATCCTCTGTATCCTCGGTGCATTGTAAGTCCGCCGAAGGGCAGGGACTATGCTAGGGAAGTCTACAATAAGTGAAAGCTCTACAGCAATGATTAAGCTTACACCTGAGCGGCAGCTCATTCATGCAGGTCCTCAGTTGTGGGGCAACCAAGGCTGCAGGTGTTACAAAGGCTTTGACTAAGGGTGGTTGCCTTGGGTATCGGAAACACCTGCTGACGCTTAGAGAAAAGCGGGGTAGCGGTGGTATTGTTTCCGGTACTGAGGGAAGGCCCACCGGAACTTAGTAAAGGAGTTAGGAGCAGAGAACAGAGGCCTTCGGAGTATAAGTACTCAGGTTCATTCCCGCCCTTCAGTCCTATTCTCTCCAGTCTTGATCAGAAAGAAAAACCAAGTTCTTATCGGTAGCAGAGCCCTTAAAGATTATTGAGTTCTAGCGATAGTATCTTTGAATAATCTGCAACCTGATTGTCTATCTTGCACGGCCGTCTCTATTCTATCTTATTCTATTTCTCTTAGAAGAGACCCCCGTTACAGATAATCTTTAAGGCTCAAATCACCTTCAGATTATTCTTTCTCTATACAAAATGTCCGCCCTCTCGGCTCCAGATGCACTCCTTCAGATTGAATGGCAGCCGGTGCCCCTCCAACTGGATGCCACCGGGCAGACACAGCTTGTCAAAAAACCCAGGACCGCTCTACAGACCTACATTCCTGGCTGTGAGCCTGCCTGGCAGGATACCGATGAGATCTCCGTCCAACAGTTCTTTACAGAGCTCCAGACCTACCTCCAACACAGCCTGCAGAATCAGTTGACCCGGGGCAGTCAGGCCCTACTCATTGTACAAGAGCGCCAGGCAGCACAGAATGCTCTGATGGCAGAGGCTCTTGAGTACATGAGGAGGGAGGTCAACTCTGTTCAGGAAGAACTTCGGAAGTATGTGGAGAGGGATGAGCTGAATGCCGATGCCATGGAGATTGAGTGGACAAACCCGGCTACTCCACCAGACTTTGTTGCCGAGATACAGAGAGCCCTTGATGAAGGAAGACTGGTGGTGGGTAGACCAGCAACTCCGGCACCAAATCCAGGCTCTAGGTCCTCGTCCAGGGCAGCCACCAGAACAATGCAGCGGAAGACCAGTCCCTTCGCAGCATTTCCGGTCCGATCCACTAGGAGAGTTATCCCTATTGTGCAGCCAGCGGTGGGGGCTTCACCCTTACCACCTAGCCACTTCGGTGGAACACACCCACTCCTTGGAGGAGCTGACCGATCCTTTGACTATGAAGGAGAGTTCTTCTCAGGTACCGGCCGAGGACCTCCCAGTCCGCTAGCCAGGAACCCGGGAAGGTTCACCATGTCTGGGGCCGCTCAACCAGCAGCAATCTCACCACTGGCCAGCAATCCGGCACCAGTAGCACCTGTGGCCTCTTCTGCTGCGGCCACCGCTCCCCCTCCAGCCAATGCACAGGGTGGAAGCGGTGGAAGCCAGAACCCTCCAGCCAATGCACAGGGTGGAAGTGGTGGAAATCAGAACCCTCCACCTCCCGTGGCCCGCGCCCCTGCTCCTGGGGATTCAGACAGTTCTGACAGCTCAGACTCGGAACCAGAAGGTGGTAACAGGAGAGGATGGCGGAGATACCTTAAGAAGAAGTTGGAGAAGCAACAGAAGAATCTGTTGGCGATGATGTCCCAGCAGTATCAACCTCCGGCCACCTCTCACCCTTCTACTTCCACCAGAGCTCGAGAACCAAAGGCACCACCACCCTTCAAGTTTCAGGGCAAGGCGGAGCAAGTGGAGACCTTCATCCGGCAATGTGAGAATGTGTTCTCCATTGAGAGCCTGTCATTTACCTCCGAGGAGGTCAAGATCCGATATGCAGGCAACTTGATGGAAGGGGAGGCAGCGATCCGATGGTATGAGGCATACCACAATTCAATTGATCAAGCCTCCGCCAACCGCCTTGCTGGAATACCGGTGCAGTTGGATCAGAGATGGAAGCGCTGGGATTCCTTTGTGGATGCTTTTAGAGCTGCCTTCGGTGAAGCCATCTCTAGAGATGATGCTTTAGCCCAATGGAATACCCTCACCCACACAGCTCGAGGAGGAATAGACCTCTTCCTGAATACTATTATTCAGCTGATGTGGAAGACTGGCTATGAGGGTCAGTTGGTGGATGATAAGATCCATAACTCCCTCCTCCCGGACCTAGGCATGAGTTGGGCTCTTTTCAACCCCAAGCCAAAGTCCTTGATGGAGCGGATAGCTGCTCTAAGAGAGTTAGGGCATACCCATGAGAGGTACCAAGGGATGGCAGCTGAGAAAGCGCACCCTCGGACCAAGAAAGATCCTCCCGCTCAGAAGGACCAGCAGCCTAAGAGGAAAAGAGAAGCTGCGAGCTCCTCCGGACCTCAGAAGACTCCAGGACCTAAAGACAAAGCGGTGGAACTGAAGGGTATCCCGGGGGATATTCTAGAAGAAAGAAGGAAAGCAGAAGTATGCTTGAAGGTATGACCTTCCGGTACTCCCTATTGGTAGAGTGCATAGACTGACTTGTGCAATAGTGCGGCAAGTCCAGACACAAATGGACCGATTGTTGGTCCAAGGAACCTACTGTTGTCCGAGTGGCAGCAGTGAGAGTACAAAAACGGAAAAGAGGGAATGGCAAATCCAACTCTCAGAAGAAGGCTAAAGTGGCTGCTGTAGTAGCAGAAGATCCACTTGTTGTACTCCCGGAGGTTACAGAAGATTTTGTTTTTCAGCCTGAGCAAGACTCGGACAATGAAATCATCTGGTAGAAAAAGTGTCTGTTTTAGTCTATGTTTACTAGTTTTCTTTTATATGGGGTTTTGGTTTCTATGTTTCTCTTGAATAAATTATGATTGTGTTTCCGCCTATTTGATTGCTCCAAGCACTCTGAGGATGGGTTTAAGACCCGAAACAGCTGGTCTGTCAGTGCTCTACCAAAGTTATATTTTGCTACCAAGACACTTCCAAACCGCTGCTAAAAAGACTACTACACAATATATCTGCTATATTACCGCTTGGGAATAGAACCAAAGGATCTCTGATCTTAGTAGTGCCCGAAGCTATTAGCTATGTTGAAAAGACAAAGAGAAACAAGTTCAGAACCCGCTGTTAAGCAAAGAAGGTTGGAACAGAGGCTTCCCTCCTTACCAGTACATGGAAAAAGACCTATACTAAAGGCAGGACTGTCATGGACGGTCAAAGGAAAGGATGAAGGCGCCCAAGGGTCTTTTCTGTTTGACACCGGTTGTACAGGAGCTATCCTCAACCAGAGTTTTGTCAGGAAACATGGAATTCCCTTAGTGCGGCGGGATCAACCTCTGACAATGTTTGATGCACAAGGAGATGTCATGATGGGAGGAGGCGAGTATTACACTCACCCGGTCCGCATGACTATGGGAGATCATAAAGAGACACTCCGATGGGAGGTGGCTACACTGGAAGAAGGAATGACCGGTTACCTGCCAATTAGTTGGGCTAGGAAGCATAACCCGGACATTAATTGGGAACTCAACACCATGAGCTGGAGGAGTGACTACTGCAAGCAGAATTGTCTCCCAGCGGCCACCAAGATTGAACTGATCTCTCCATACCAAATGTTGGAAGAAGAAGAGACAGTCTATCAATTGGTTGGTTCAGTATGGCATGATGAGGACGGAGGTGATATTGCTGAGAAAATACACCACCTATACCGGGATTGGGCTGATGTGTTCAGTCAAGAGAAGATTGAGGAAATGCCGCCGCATTCCCATAATGATCTGAAGATCAAACTCTTGCCTGGGACCGCTCCCCCATTTGGCCCGCTATACCCATGCTCCGCTCCAGAGTTGAAGGCCCTCCGAGAGTACCTGGACAAAGAGTTGTCTTCAGGAAAGATCTCTAGATCGAATAGCCCTGCTGCGGCACCCATACTGTTCATTCCTAAGAAGGACGGGACTTTGCGGATTTGTGTGGATTATAGAGGTTTGAACAAGGTCACTGTCAAGGACAAGTACCCGCTGCCTATCATGAGTGAGCTCAGAGACAGGTTGTTCAAGGCCAAGATCTTCACAAAGATAGACCTGAAGAAAGGCTTCAATTTGATCAGGATAGCCGAAGGTGATGAGTGGAAAACCGCTTTCAGAACCCGCTATGGACTGTATCAGTACAATGTGATGCCATTTGGCCTATGCAATGCTCCCTCCGCTTTCCAGGCAATGATCAATGATGTGCTAAAGGAACTACTGGATGAAGGAGTAGTTGTCTATATCGATGACATCCTCATCTACTCGGAGACTGAGAAAGAGCATGAGCTATTGGTCAAGAAGGTACTACAGAAGCTTAGGGAAGCTAAGCTCTGTGCCTCGATCAATAAGACATCCTTCCATGTCCGAGAAGTAGAATACCTAGGCTATCATATCTCGGAACAAGGAGTATCTATGTCAGAAGACAAGGTGGAGGCAGTTAAGGAATGGCCGGTCCCTGAGAATATCAAGGCAGTACAGGCATTCCTCGGATTTGCAAACTTCTATCGCCGCTTTATTGAAGGCTTCAGTAAGGTTTGCAAACCACTAACTGACCTCCTGCAAAAAGACAAGAAATGGTATTGGACAGCAGCACATGAGCAGGCCTTTGAAGAACTCAAGAGGCTGTTCACAAGCGCTCCAATCCTCCTTCATTTTGACCCTAGTAGGAGAACGGTGGTCGAGACAGATGCCAGTGATTTTGCCAAGGGAGCGGTGCTCTCTCA